TATAGGTCCTCTGGACAAAGATATTTTTTTTCTTCACTCAGAATTAAGACTCCAATCCTCCTAAATGGAAATGCAAAACCCTCTATTTGAAACACCCTATTTTAAAACCCTCTTTTAGGGGTTAATCTTCCTTATCATTTCTTACACCAATGCCACCATCTTAAATTTAAATAGTTCTGATTGCTAAGGAATTCCAACACATTTCATTCATGTATTCCATGCATACCAATCCTGAATGTTAACATATGCTCCAACACTTAGTACTTGAGCACTTTGGGCAAGTCACCTGGTATTTCCAAGCCACAATTTCTTCATTTATAAAATGGAGATAACCTGACTTCATGATTCACAGGGATACAAGAACCAAATTAAAAGACGTGAGAACACGTTTGAGAAGAGTACTGATATACATACAAATGTTTGCTATGATTGTAAGATCTCCAAATTCCCACATTTCACTGAAAGAAATAATTTTGCTCCAAATGTTCAGATGTAGAACCTGAATGGCTTACAGTTGCTGAGTTGGCATTACACACTTCAACATCATCAAGCAAGTCTCCAGGGACTTTTCTATCTACAGCTCCTTCTAGGAGTAGAAAAAAGTCTTGAGTCCTCAAAAAATTAAAAATTACCATAAGATCCAGTAATTCCACTACTGGATATTTAACGAAAGAAAACAAAAACGCTAATTCAAAAAGATACATGCATCCCTATGTTTATCGCAGCATTAACAACAACAGCCAAACTATGGAAGCTGCCCAAATGTCCACTGATAGATGAGTGGGTAAAGAAGATGCGGTGAATTTATATACAATGGAATATTATTCATCCATAAAAATGAATGCAATCTTGCCATTTGTGATAATATGGATGGATCTAGAGGGTCTAATGCTAAGTGAAATAAGTCAAAGAAAGACAAATACTATATGATTTCATTCATATACAGTATTTAAGAAACAAAACAATAAAGAAAAAAAGATAAACCAAAAAATAGACTCTTAACTTATAGAGAACAAACAGATGGTTACCAGAGGGAAGTGTGTGAGGGGATGGGTCACATAGGTGAAGGGGATTAAGAGTACACTTATCTTTTTTTTTTTTTTTTTAAAGATTTTATTTGAGAGAGTGTTCCAGCACGAGAAGGGGGAGGAGTGGAGGGCGAGGGAGAGAGAATCCTCAAGCAGACTCTGGGCTGAGCCCGAGGAAGAGGCTCAGTCTCAAGACCCTGAAACCATGACCTGAGCCAAAATCAAGAGTCAGATGCTTAACCGACTGAGCCACCCAGGTGCCCCAAGAGTACACTTATCTTCATGAGTACTGAGTAATGTACAGAATTATTAAATCACTATACTGTATACCTGAAATTAATATAAATATGGTATGTTAACTATACTGGAGTTAAAATAAGTAAAAAAATAAAGTTCCTTCTATGAAAGTAGAGTAAAATGTTACAACTTAGGTATTTACATTTTAATACTTTCACTAGTGGCGCGCACACTTTTACTACATCCCTCTTAAGGGCAGGAATAGCACCTTGTCATTTTAGCTACACTAACTGGCACAGAGACCAGCTCTGTGCTTAATATCAGAATACTCTTTTCCAGAATGAAAGTGAAATCTTCATATGAATATATATGAGGTGGAAAGAGGTCTGGCCCTGGAATAGAGTCACTTGCTCTCATACCACATACAGCCTTTCCTGAGGCCCTCCAGCGTCCTGAGCCTTCATTTCCCTTTAAAAGTCTACAGTGTAATTGTGTAAGACTGATGAATCCCAGACCTGTACCCCTGAAACAATACATTATATGCTAATAAAAAAAAGAAAAAAGAAAGTCTACAATGTAAGTCTGTAATGCCCTTCTATCTGATGTCAGACACCCACCCAGAATACTGAAAATAAGGCCTTTGAGTGACAAAATGAAAAAGTTTTTCACAAAATCCATGCATGCACTTTATCCATAGCAGAGGCCTGTTGACTTTTAGTTCATGTGTATTTATAACAAACTTGGTTATTTGATTATGAAATATTTCCCACTGGGTAAAAGCAGTAAAACAGATCAGATGCTGAAAGAAACTGGAGAAACCTTAAAGTTCCTCTTCCTGATGAATGAAATGAAACCAAACCTTCCCAAAAAAGATCAGATTCAATTCAAAATCATACTGTGGCCTAATATCACGGAACACTTGACAAACATCGTTCATTATGGTCATCTTTATCTCTTACATCAAAATTAGACTCAATTCATGATTAATTTAATGCAATCTTTAATTATAATAAAACAGAACGAATGCTCAGCAAATACTGCAGTCTAGTGCTACCTACCCTTTCCCTATCAATAACCTGGGAAGAAAGGATAAAGCCCTCTGTTACAGTTCACTTCTCCTTACAAGTAATGTCTTCACTAACTGCTCTTATTTTTTCCCTACATAGCATTAATGGAATCACAAAGGAAAGGCCACCTAATTTTAATAAACACAAAAGTTGGCTTTTGATGTATCTAAGAGGGATTTTACATATAGAAACAAAGTGGATTATTTTACAGAATTAATTTTACCATAAGGATGCTAATGTACTTTAAAGAAATACAGTGTTACTATTTGCCAACTATAGATCATCAGCTCCTTCAAGGAAGTGACCATGTCTGACAATTCTGATCCTTAAATCGCCCAGGGGGAGTACCATAGCCATCAGAATACTTAACAAATATTTCTGAGATTGGCTTTGAAAGGACTTTTATATATCAGTAATGGAAATCCAAATGCATGTAATTATTTTATAAAGTTAAATACACCAAGGATTTTAAGAATCTTGAGCAAATTTTATGTTCACTAGAGGAAATATATGATGGAAAGTAATTTATATTACATCATAAATTATGTAATGTTAAATGAAAAATATCAGGATAAAAATTATACATAAGGGCGCCTGGCTGGTTCAGTCAGTTAAGCGTTCAACTCTTGATTTCAGCTCAGGTCATGATCTAAGGGTCGTGAGATCAAACCCCTCCACACCCAGGGCTCTGTGCTGAGCATGGAGCCTGCTTATGATTCTCTCTCTCTTCCCCCCCCAAAAAAATATATATATACACAAAACAGTATATGTAAAATTTAAATATAAATTATTTTATACATTTTATAAATGTGTTAATCATACTTGCATGTATTTATACATTTAAAAATAAAAATATTTTAAATTTTTATATACAAAATATAAAAACAATGAATAAAACAAAAATTATATATAAAATAGTGGGCTAAAAATTAGGTGTGAAATGTAATTACAATTTTTTTTTTAACATAAGTACTGGGAAAAAGACTGAAGGAAATGCACAGAAATGTTCACAGTATTTGTGTTTGGGTGATGAGACCATGGCTGACATTCTCTTTTCTTGATATGCTAAATATTACTTAATGCACTACTTTTACAATGAAACAATCTTTTAAAAAGAAAAGAAAGGGAATAAATGGGAAGGAGCACTACTAAGGGGTAAGAAAAAGGCATAGAGCAATTACTTTATTTAGTAAGTGCTATAATTAAATTTCTACCCTGGCAAAGAACTTTTTAAGTGCTCACAAATGATAACTAAGTTTATAGAATATTTGTGTTGGAGGGATGTCCTAATTCTGTCATTTGACAGGTACAGAAAAAATATATATAGCTGTGTGATGCTTTACAGTTTACAAAGTGTTTTCAAAATGTCACCTGTCCCTCAAATAATCCTGAGATAGGCTCATATGCCCCATTTTTAGGACCAGGAAACTGGGGGTTAGAGAGAGAATATGCTTTAATAATAATGACTACGATTTATCGAATGTTGACTCTATGCCAGCCTCTGGGTTAAGCACAACAATCCTGTGAAAATCATCACCATCTCACAGATAAGAAAACTGAAGGGTGGAGGTTAAGTGTGCTTACTATCACACAGCTGAGAGTCACTGCTCTGACTCAATGCCATGCATTTAAAACAGGTGTCTTGGGTTACAATCAACTTCACAGAATCCTTTACCGAAAGAGTTGAGCCTAGGACCCAGTCCCATGCTCTGTCTACTATACTGGTCTTGCCTAAGGTTTCTTTTAAGAGTTATAGTTTGACAGCCACCATGAAGGTCCAGAGGCCAAGAGACTGGGCCCAGAAACACCCAAAAGCTAATGTTGCCCGAGAGCCTACGCCTCAGGAGGAAAGCAAGGCAGAGAACTGGAGTGGAGGGGACAGGGCTAACTCATGTATATCAAGGGAGAGCCAAAAGGAAACCGAGTCTCCACCTCAGGAGCAGGGACCGCAACAAGCTTTCTGCACCTTACACCCGGGTAACTCGGTACAATGTCCAGAGCGCCTTTGGGTTCATCCCCAAGGAGCTCGCAACAACCCATGAGCTGGGCGGGGCAGGGATGAGTCCTACTTTGCAGAAAAAGCTGGAAGAAAAGCAACAGCGCGCCGGGAGGGCAGACAAGCAATGAGTGTGAGAGCTAGGGGGAAGACAGCTGCGGGGCCTGGACACCCGGACCGGGTCTGAGTGGCACCCAAGGAGCCTGTGGCCCCCGCCCAACAGAGGAAAAGCCCAGGGCCCGTAGCGGCGACAAAGGCCGAGAGGGAAACCGCGGTTCTGAGGCCACCGCCCGCCCAGATTCGGGTGTTTTGGACGTCGGCCCAGGAGCCCCGCTACTCACGCTGGACCAGCCGGTCTCCGGAGAAGGTGGAAGAACAGCTGGTGACAAGCGCACAGGGGACGCCCGCAGCCATAGCTGCGCCCGCGAGCCAGTTCCGTCCCAGAGCCGCTTCCGCCTTGGGCTGCACCACGGCCGCCGGCGCGCGGGGGAGACGCGCAAGGAAGGGCGCGTTGACGGGAGGAACCGGCTACCCTGACTCCTCCCACACCCCCTCTCCGCCCCCAACGTAGAATAGGCCGGGCTGCGCGTGGGGTTGCCATGGGGACGAGCGCTCTCCGCCCCTGGCTTCGGCGCCTGGAGACCGCTCCTCCTCCGGGAGGTAGCCCTCCCCGGCCCTAGCCATGGCACAGGAGACTGAAAACTACGACCCCATCGGAACCATCCTAATCCAGGTGGGAAACGGGCCGTTCCGGGCCCTGCCCAGCTAAGACACTTCCGAGCGAGGCCCAGCAGCGCCGATCCACTCGCGCCCACCTTTTAGGAGCGCCGCCCCCAGACTGCCACCAGCGTGAGGAGGGCACTGCCCCTCCGAGAACTCCCAAATATGCCCACCCAGACCTCGGCCACGAACCTAACACGCCCCCCGTGCCTTACCCTGGAGGTTGCGCCCCAGAAGCTCGACCGTTCTGCCTCTGGTAAAACTCCAAAACCATACACCTCACCCCAGAACCTTAATTTCCGAAAATCCATCTTACACTGAGGCACCATTTTAAAATGTTATGTTCTGAAAAATTTGAACCCGTGATATGGGGGAAATACAAGTCAGACACTTTGGGGAAATGATAAGAAATCTGGGGAGAAGTTGAAATATGTAAACCACTTTTCTTAAGCACCTAAATTTTTTGGATCTCAAAGTACCTTGCAAATAATTAAGTTTGGGGGATGTAATATACAGCACGGTGACTGTAGTTAGTAATACTGTACTGTTACATTGGAAAGTTGCTAAGAGAATACATCCTAAAAGTTCTCATCATAAAAAAATTATAACTATGTATGGTTATGGATGTTAACTTGTGCTCATTTTTGCAGTTTATACAAATATTGAATAATTATGTTGTATACCTGAAATACAATGTTATATGTCGATTATATCTCAAATAAATAAATGAATTAAATAAAAGTTCCTTGCTTGGGAACACACACAGGAAAATATATTAAAGATAACTTGGATTGCCTATCAAGTTAAAATTTTGAATATAGAAATGTGCCCCAAAAACTCAGGGAAATGACTCAAAAAAAAAGTCTTAACTTCAGTATAACTCAGTTTGTGACCATTATACTTAGATTTTTCCCACAAAAATTTTGTTCTTTCACATTTACATATGGTAGTTTTAAAACATTTCTGCATAAATCATCACTTTTAACTTGTATTTAGCTCCATTTATCTAAGGCTTGAAGTAATTTGCCTAAATTCACTCTATTCGGACTCTCACTCAGATCTGCAATGGATTTTCCTGCCAGGAGATTGGTCTCTTACCTCCCATCTAGGAGAGACTTCTTTAAATGCATCTTTTTTTTTTTTTTTAAAGATTTTATTTATTTATTTGTCTGAGAGAGAGAGAGGGAGAACAAGCAGGAGGGGAGCAGCAGGCAGAGGGAGAAGCAGAATCCCCGCTGAGCAAGGAGCCCCATTTGGGACTCAATTCTAGGACCCTGGGATCATAACCCGAGCCGAAGGCAGACGCTTAACCGACTGAGCCACGCAGGCGCCCCTTAAATGCATCTTTTCCAAAATACAAATGCCTAAGCTCACCAATTTCATAGAGTTCCCCACTATGAATAATACCCAAATCTTCCTACCTCACGTTCTGTTATCCTGTCACTAGCACCCTAATGAATTTAGCAAACTGCAAAATCTGAGGGACCAGTCCCCATAAAACTGGCCTCATTTCTACTCCAGCCTAAGTTCAGAAGTCCCCAGAATCAACTTCACTCCAGGCCTGCTATCTACAAATTTGGGGGCCCTGACCACCTTCACACTGGCTAATTTGCTAGAGCAACACAGAATTCAGCAAAGTGCTCTGCTTACAATTAGTGTTATAACATCGAAAGGATACAAATTAAAGCCAGCCAAGGAAAGGCATGCATAGGGCAGCATCCAAAAGGAATCCAGATGGAGCTTCCAGTCATCCTCTCCCCATGGAGTCATTGATGGTTTTATCTCCTTCCCAGCCATGATGTGTAACAATATACACGGAGTATTGCCAACTAGGGAAGCTCGCCTAAGACTTCGATGTCCAGAGCTTTTACTGGGACTCAATCACACACTGCCCATGTTCTGACCTTTCATATCTGACCATTCCCAGAGGTCACACTAATGCCTTTAGTCCCTAGTTCCTCTAGAGGTTGGAACAGATACGGTGTGGCTCAAGGCCCCCAGCATAAATTACATTGTTAGACTGTCTGGTGACCAAAGCTCCCAAGCAAAGACACCTATCAAGCAGGACACTCCAGGGCCCTAGAGATCACCTCCTGATATCCAAGGGCAAAGGTCAGAACTCTCATTGGGAAAGGTTGATTCTTTACTACTTATACCCCCTCTAAATCCAGGGCCCATGTTTATAGGCTCCAAATAATTGGAACACTAATGGAGACTCCTACCCAGAAACAGCAAGTTTTCCCCCACAGTATACTTCGTGTTGACTGCAGAAACAATTAGGTTACTCCTTAGTTCTCTCTATTTCTTCAGACCTGGAACATCTCTAAAAAAGAGACTGGAATCTGGGGAGAATTCTCACACCTAATTTCATGCTTTCCCTTGAGAGAATTCTTTTCCCAGAGCTGCTCCCCTTGTGGTTTGGAATAGTGTAGAATAGGGTATCGACTGAAAAGCCGGAAGGCTTTTCACTTCAGAGTAGGATCCAAAGCTAGCTGTTTGATCAACCTAGGATACAACATTACAGTATCAGTGTCTGTTGTCATTGGGTTATAACAGGGAACAGGAGAGCTAAGAACAGTCATATCCATGCTGATCAACACCCCCATATGCTAAAAAGGGTTATTCTGTACACAGTAATTGGAGGGCCATGTAGAGAAAGCAAGCCTACGTGTCAACCTGATTATTGATGCTGATCTCTAGATACAGTAGAACATTCTCCCTGGTAATATGGAGAATATATATAACAAGGAAATGAGGAAGACTTTCCCTACTTTCTCACCAAGTCCGGAGTATTTATGAGCATACAGCACTACTCTCCGGCACACAGCATGGATTCCACTGCTGCCTGGGGTGATGATTTATGTCCTTCAAACATGCTACCGATAAGCAGTACATCTGCCTTAGATAGTACTGTAAAATATAAACTGTAATATGATTTTCAAGAAAAATCCCAATAATCAAAGCTAACAGTATTTTCTGGGTATTGTGCATAGTTCTAAGTGCCGCGCATATTTTGATTCATTTAATCCCCTACAACAAAGCTATCTGATAAGGACTATTATTATTTCACATTATGGAAAAGAAACAGATCAAAGATGAGTATTGTGGGTAGACCCGTATACGTAGAAAATGCAAGCAATCTTCTCAAACCCTTTCAGTCTGTCAACCTGATATAAAAAAGAAAGTCTTCCCTTGCCCCTTTTTGCTCCTCTCAATATTTAAATCCTGCCTTTTCCACTGAATTTTCACCAACATTTAGCTTTGTAGATTTATAAATACATGTTTGTATATTTGTAGATATTATGCACATACTGGTTAATGGTTAAACATGAAGGCTCTGGATTCAGACTGCCTGGATTCGAATAGTTCCACCAATTAACCTGCTATCTTACCTGGCACAGGGTACTTAACCACTTTAAACCTCAGATTCCCCCAAGTAAAAATAAAGATGATAATATGAACTCCCTCTTAGGAGTCTTGTAAGGGTCAAAATATTGGGTAACATAATGTGTAACACTCAATAGATGTGAGTTGTTATTAGATCTGGTCTCTTATCTTTTAATATTACTTAGTTTTCTGTTCATTTCCTTGTCTTTTTAAGAGTAACCTACTTTTTACTGGAAGAAAAGGAAAAAATTAATTTTAGCCTATCTTTTTTAACCAGGCTCAGTCCTGGGGCGCCTGGGTGGCTCAGTCGGTTAAGTGTCTGCCTTTGGCTCAGGTCATAATCCCAGGGTCCTGGGATCAAGCCCTGCATCAGGCTCCCTGCTCAGCCAGGAGGCTGCTTCTCCCTCTCCCTCTGCC